GGAACTCCCAGCACCCGCTAGAGGCCACTGGGCTGAGGAATGTTGTCTCTGACCCCTGCCCTCCGTGGGAGACCCCTGGGCATGTTCCATCTCCTCGTTGCTTCACGGTGCTTCAGTGGGGATCTCAGATGGGGCCCTGGGTGTCCACTGAGGTGGGCGAGACGTGGCCTGAAGTGGAGCAGTCCTTGTCTCACCCACTGCGCTGGCCCAGACTCACCCCTTAGCGCAACTGCTTTTCTCCCAGGCAGGGGTGCAGGGGACGTGTCAGCCAATCGGCCCACGGAAGTGGCAGTGATGGCGAGCAGGCCAAGGCGGTGAGGCAGCCCATGGAGGGTGTCCGGCCCTGGAGCCCCCCCCCGCCCCCCCCCGCTCTGAGCCATGCATCAGGCCCTGGCCCAAGCGCTGGATGGTCAGCCTGGCAGCCAGGTTGGCCACGCGTGGCTTCCACATCTCGGTGGTAAGTTCTTGAGAGGCCGGTTGAGTTTGCCGGGGGACCAGTCTTTCACGCGTTGTCTGCTCACGGGTCTGCTGTTCTCCCAGGGAAAGCAGCCCCGGCACTGGGGGCCTGAAGCAGGACTTCACCAGATCTGCCCACAGCATTCCCTATGTCCCCGAGTGCAGCTTTCAGAACAGATCGGGAAAGAGGAACTGGACACGGCCGCAAGAAGCCTCATCCCTGTGAACCGAGTGAGTGTTCACCCCAAGGACCTGCTCCTTGGAAAGCCCTCCCCAAAACATCTGCTATGAGGCATGCAGGAAAGTGGGCAGAGCTGCTTGGAAGAGGCTGAGTAAGGCCCAGCTCACTCGCGCCTGTGAGTAATGCAAGCTGCGTGCACATTTCCAGGCGCATCGGCCACAGGGCAGGCGAAGGGCTCTGCCTCCGGGTGGGAGCGGCTTGGCCTGCCGACGAGGAAGACGGGCTCAAGCAGATCTCTGCGGCTCCCACTCTGGAGCTGAGGGCCACTGCTTTTCCACAAGCGGCAGGAAGTAGCATCAAAACCAGGGCGCACGGAGAACTAGCTGGAGGACTAGCCATGCATTGCGCCTCTTAATTCGTCAGCGCCTACTCGGGTGTGTCCGTTTCTCTCTCTCTGGAATTCTTGGCTTCTTCCCTTGCTAATTTCCTTTTCTTTCCTTCGGAGTGAAAAAGCACAATTGGAAGCAAGACAATGAACCTTCCGTACAAGAGAGCTTCAGATAAAGGCAGAGGTGCTCTCAGAAAGCTCCGAGATGACATGCCTTTCCGTAGACTAGCCCTAGTATCAAATCTCTCTCCCTCAAACTGCCGCAAATCTGGTCTGGAAAAGAGCGAGAGAGAACCCTGGAAGGCGGCCATTTGGCCTCCACGCCGTCTGGATTCCCTGTGAAACATGAAGGAACAGAAGACGAGGATTTCAGAGAGAGGGGCCAGTGTGCCAGGTCAACGGCAACTCCGCAGACCCCTACCCTCTCTCAGCAACACGGGGCCACGATCCTCCACAACATTCCTCTGCACAAGAGGAGCGAGGGGAGCCTTGATGGGATTTCAAGCATGACCGGCGGAGATGGGCGCCTCTCCGTACCTTGCGTTACAGCTGCCATTCTGGCTCAGAGACAACCCCGCTAATGAAACTTGAATCTTCTGACCTTTCTGTGTCCTCCTAAAGCACCCTAATCAAAAAAGAGGCAAGGGAGGGAACTGGGTCGAAGAGGATCTTGGCTTTCGCTCTCTAATTTATTCCGGAAAAAAATGTTTAGAATCACTGAGCCTGGAATGAAACCCTAACCGGCCGTAACTGTCCAAGAGGCCCAGAGAAGCTGGTGGTCCTTCTCTGCTAGTCTGGGAACTGATGACCGCCAGGAGGAAAGCTGGAAAGCTGGATGCCCCTGGGTGGGAATGGCAAAGCAGCTTGCATGTTTTGTGGGGGGGGCAGTTCATCAACCCCACACGGAATCAAGTGGTGCAGCTTTTCCTGGACTGTGCCATTTCCGGATGCAGGGGGTATCAAGAGGGCAGGGCCAAAAGTGCCATGTTGTTGTTGTTGTTGTTGTTGTTGTTGTTGTTGTTGTTGTTGTTATTATAACATTTCTATGCCGCCCCTTGCCGAAACCTCGGGGCGGCTTACAACATGATAAAATACATTGAAATACAATAGTACATAATAAATTACCATTAAATATAAATATAAATGTTGGAAGCTCCCCTGGTTCCAAGGAAGGAAATACCCCCGTGCTTAGAATCTCGCTTGTGTTTCTCTTCCTAGTTTGAAAGCTGATCCCGCAGAAGGACTGAGCCGGTTTGCCTGGGGGCCTACAGTTGAAGGGGGCTTCCAAATGGACAGCTCTTGGCACCAACCCATCACGATGCAGAAAAATAGTAGCCAAGGAATCCCACCACCAACAAAGCCACTTGATTTCTACTTCGCTTTTCAGCCGGATCGCGGGCACTCCAGGTGGCTTGCATTGAAAGAGGTTCCAACAATACATTAAATGCAAGGAAAACATAACAATGACAAAATTAAAACAGAACACACTGCACAGATATGCTTACAGGCCCAAAGCCTATTCGAATAAAGCTGTCTCTGCCCACCGCTGGAAGGGCAGTGGAGAGGGAATGAACCTCGCCTCCTTTGGGAGGGCGTTCCATAGCCTGGGGGCAGCCACCGAAAGAGCCCTCCCTCCTGGTGCCACCAAATATGATGGGAGCAGTCTCAAAAGAAAGCGCCTCTTCCAAACATCCTAAGATATGGGTAGGCTCCTATGGGAGAAGGCGGTCTTTCCGGTAGCCTGGTCCCAAGCCGCTTAGCACTATATATAACCAGCAGGTAGAAACAGGCTGGTAGCCAGGGAAGCTGCTGCAACCAGGGAGCCGTGGCCGCCTGCCCACAGCATCCTGGGCCAGCTGAAGCTTCTGAAGGCCCTTCCAAGGCAGCCTCTCACAAGGTGAGTTGTGATAGTCCAGACAGAAGGCGGCTAAGGCATGTGTGATCGTGGCCGGATCAGCCAACTCAGGGCAGAGGTGTGGGCGGCACCCTGGCTTCGGCCACACAAATGCATTCCTGCACTGCCAAGTCGTGGGAAATGTTTTAATAAATAAAACATTCTATGCATTTATTAGCATAGAAATGTTTTAATTAATAAATAAATAAATCCCATTCAAGGCCAAGTCCCCGGCTGCAAGTCTGAGCCTTCCAGGGGAGCGTTACCCCATCCAGCCCACTCCGACTTCTGATTCCCCATCCTGGCTTTCAATGGACCAGGAGCAGCTCTGCTCCGATTCGTTTGCCTGGATTCAATCCGTTCCTGACATCAGGGGCTGATTTGGAAGTCGAAAAGCTAACGGGAAGTGCATGGAAAGGAGAGAGAGAGTTGCGTGTCCCTGCATACCGGTAGCTCTGCTCCCCGAAACTCCCCCTGTGGTTTCATGTATAGATGGAAATGCCTAGGGCGATTCCCTGGGGGACACCACAGGGCAACGACCGTGGCATCGAAGAGGAACCTTCTAGCGCCGCCTCCTGAGTTCACCTCTGTAAGAAGGACTAGACCGTTCGTGTGACAGGAAATGCCAAAGAAGAATACCATGATTGACCACAACAAAAGCCACTCCCCTGTTCAGTTCCCAGCGTACATCATCCACCTGGCAACTACAGCCATTTCAATCCCACAACCAAAGCCAGGCTGGAAATGGCTCTAGATAATCCAACCCATAACCAAAGCCAGGCTGGAAATGGCTCTAGATAATCCAACCCATAACCGAAGCCAGATTGGAAATGGCTCTAGATAATCCAACCCATAACCGAAGCCAGATTGGAAATGGCTCTAGATAATCCAACCCACAACCAAAGCCAGGCTGGAAATGGCTCTAGATAATCCAACCCATAACCGAAGCCCGATTGGAAATGGTTCTAGGTAATCCAACCCATAACCGAAGCCTGATTGGAAATGGCTCTAGATAATCCAACCCATAACTGAAGCCAGATTGGAAATGGCTCTAGATAATCCAACCCATAACCAAAGCCAGGCTGGAAATGGTTCTAGGTAATCCAACCCATAACCAAAGCCAAATTGGAAATGGTTCTAGGTAATCCAACTCATGAAATATTCTGGATCTGAAAAGCCACCATTCTTCCTTTGCTGAAGATGCTGCTTTCAACCTGGCTGGGTTCAGGCATGGGGTTCTGTGATCTCTTACAGGTGAGATATGTAAAATACGGTCTGGCTCTTTCTGCCGTATGTATGAATCAGCAGCGGGGTGTTCACCTGAGGCCAGATTCCATTTCAGGCGAAACATTTGGGGCTGCATTCCAGTTGCCTTCGTGGGCCTGAGCCACAAATACAAAGCCCACCGGCACATTTTTGCTTATGTTTCTTACTGCCACCAACCGGCACTTGGCAGAGGGATTTCAACTTTTTTAGAATGGGGAAAAGCTGCGTGGTGGGGCTTGGGGAAGGAGCGTGGCCTGTAATACCAGTACCATACTGGGGCAGCCAAGATCAAAAGTTGGCACTATTATGGTGCAGAATTAGGAGCAAGAGGCCGTGTTAGGGAGCATCCCGCTAAGGCTGTAGTCCAGGTTTGCAGCCCTGAATCTGTGGGACGCCCCAGCACCCCGCTGCCCACAGGGTCTTGCTGAAACAAAGGACAGGACTCTGTTGCCTCGGGACTCCCTGGAAGAGCTGGCTTTTGGCTACATGCACTTATCACCCCTCCATGAAACTTTCCACCTGAGGATCTTTTCTGAAATCAAATGCCTTCCTCTCCCGTCCATGCATCAATTCATACCAAAAGGGATGTCCTTCAGAGACGGGGCCCTTTAAAGACACACACGGAGAGAGAAATTTTAGGGTATTTGTGAATCAGGATATGCAATTCCGTGTCCTGTGGGTGTGAGCCATGGTTTTCCACGTATCCAGCACCATCCCTGGGCAATGCTTTCCCTGCACTTCCACAAAGTTGTGGAATATACCACATCTTGGTTCTACTCTTGATGCATAAATGTTTTCTTTGCCCAAACTCTTACCATTTCGCAGGGTGACACTTCCATGGGCCGATAGGTTGAGATGCCAACATTCAGCACCGCCAAAAAGAGTAAAAGGTGGAATTTCATGGCTCTGTAGAATGGGAGAAAGAAATCACAGTTAGAGATCAAACCAGGCGATGTTCAGGACAAGAGGCCCTGAGAGACGGACGTGTGGGTGGGATAAATGATTATTTTGCTTCTGTGTTCTCCCCAAAGCAGGGCGGGGGAGATTGACATGGGGGATTGGATGAGCCCGCGGATTTAGGGACACAGATTAGAGTCACCTAGAAGTTGAGGGGCTCCTCAGGGCTCTGGATATTACACAGGCGTTGGGCCCTGACGGGTTACACCTGAGAGAGAGTTGGCAGGGGTTCTCTCACGCCCGCTGGCCTCCATTTTTGAGGCCTCGTGGAGAACGGGTGAGGTTCCAGAGGACTGGAGGGTGGCGTCAGTGGTCCCAATCTTCAAAAAGGGTAGTAGAAGGGACATGGGGAATTACAGACCTGTTAGCCTTATGTCAATTCTAGGAAAGACAATGGAAGGGCTCATAATAGTGAGGGATCTAGTAACCCTAGATAGGGAAGGGAGGCTGGCAGCCACACAACACGGATTCCGCAAAAACAGGTCCTGCCAGACGAATCTTGTGGAATTATATGACACCATTTCGAGGTGGCTAGGTGGAGGGGATGTGGTAGATGTGATCAGCAAGGCCTTTGACAAAGTGCCGCATGATACCCTGGTTGAGTAATTTGGGAGTTCAGGTTTCTAGATTGAGAGAGGTATTACTGCCAGTCTATACGACTCTGGTGCGCCCGCAATTGGAGTATTGTGCTCAGTTCTGGGCTCCACATTACAGGAAGGATGTAGCCAGGTTGGAATCAGAGCAACGTAGGGCCACAAGATTGGTGGCCGGATTGCAGGGAAAGCCGTATGAAGCTAGACGGAGGGAGCTGGGTCTCTTCAGCCTGGAGAAGAGGAGACTCAGAGGGGATCTGTTGGTGACATACGGGTATGTGAGGGGATGTCACACGGAGGTGGAGAGAGACCTGTTCTCCCCTGCGGAGGAAGGCAGGACACGCTCCAACGGAGCAAAGCTCAGGGAGCCAAGGCTCCATTTGGATGCCAGGAAGCACTTCCTGACAGTCAGGACCCCAAGGGTGTGGAATGGGCTTCCCCCAGAGGTGGATGAGGCCCCATCGGTGCAGGTGTTCAAGGATAGGCTGGACATGCACATGGCAGGCATGTCATGAGTGGAGCTGACTGGAGCCGGGGGTCAGACTAGATGGCCCAGGAGACCCCTTCTGACTCGCTCTGTTTCTATGTTTCTATAAATGCACCCTTAGGACCGTGTGTATTGCCCAGTTCTGCAATCGCAGCACCCTGTAGCAGGATCTGGTCCCGGGCTCTGAACTCATTCACTCAAGAATCAGAAGAGCGAGGCTGCGGAAAATGAAGGACCTTCCTCTCTTCCAAACAAGATCCTTTTCCTATCCTGGCTGAGCTCTGGAAACAGAAAATGGTTCTCTGTGTTTTCAGAACAGTTCACCCAAAACTAGGAAAAAAACGACTCGCTGGGATGGGCTTCTATTGATAAGGGTCTGAGTTATCTCTGTCACTTATAGCAGTTGTGCAACTCCTTCTTGAGATCCATGTGTGTGGAGTGCGAGCGTCGCTGCAAGGAGAAGGGCAAGTGTGCACAGAATCGTGTTCCTTTAAACAAGCGGCAGACAATTAAAGGGATACATCCCTCCAGATGTGGGAGAGCTGCTGTGCCCGGGCATCCCCAACCAGGGGCTCCGGCTTTTTGAGGCAGGTTTCACGAAAACGTGTAGTAATCAAGGGACCCTTGCCTCGATGTGCCAATAATGCAATTAAGGGAAGGTTGACTTATCAGCGTAGATACAACTGCTTGACTCAGTGGAAACCAGTTCGCATGTGTATTTACTTTAAGTTTCTGTGCCTGTAAACTACATTCCTGAAGATTTTTTCTAAGGAGCCAAAGAGTGCATAGCCAGAAACCTCAAAGGAGCAGGGAAGGATGAGGGGCGGGAGTTGCTCTTAAGTCATCCCGCATCAAGATTTGGAGTTAGGTGATAGTTTTTGCAGGAAGCGGTTGCACTTAACTGTGTGGTGACCGAGTTTGTGCAAAGCGTGCATCTCTTTCCCACTCCCAATCTCTCTTCTCATCAAACAGGTTTTGCAGGGCATCAAAACCCTGCAAAACTTGAGTGTTGGACAAAAGAACAGGATGTTTATATGGAGAGCAATGGCTGGCTGAGGGATGGATTGCTTTTTCTATGACCACTGGGGATGTGACCCCTTGGCATCAGGCTGGTCGTTGGCGTCTCTTCTCTGGGGGGATCTCTCTCCAGTCACTGTTATTTCTGAAATGAGCCAGCAGGTTCTCGGGTGGACGGCAAATGAAGGGCAGCATAAAATGTCTGCTATTGTTGCCCCAGCAGAAAAGTGGTTCTCGCAGTGCAAGAGCAGAATCCAGCCAGAGTTACACAAGTGCTTGTGTTTGTGCAGTTGGTTAAGCACAATGCACAACCCCTTGTGCAATGGTAAAATACAGCAGATGTCACCAGTGGTATTTGAGCTGGCGAAATGAGACTGTTGGATACGGCCCATAATAAAAAGAAACAATGAGTGCGATTTATTTGTTTGTGGGATTCATGGCCACAAACAAATAAATGTGTTGTCCCCGATGAGTCCACTGGAAAGGAATTAGGCAAATTCGAGGAGGAGCGCTCCGTCGTGACTGCTAATTGGTCCCAGACATGGAGCGTTTTCCTGCAAGGGGCTGCCCAGGCGCTTGATTGAGCTAGTCACTGATCAACTAACTGGGCCTGGGTTCAAGACCAGAACATTGTACCTCTGAGCAACCAGGTAGCTGAGCAACAGTGGCCCACCAGATCTCCCCTGGGCTTCACCGAGGCCTCTGGGTGGGCACCGTGAGAAGCAAAACGCTGGCCATCTCTTCTGGCCCAGGAGGGCCCTTTTCACATCTCCGCTTCTCTGTTAGTGCTTGCAAGTTCTGCAGATTTCGCAGTGGCACGTACTGCGTGACAAGCAGAAAGCCCACATGTTTATAGACCAGGTGCCCCCAGTCTCTTGGGGGTTAGGGGTATGCTTTTCATGTTGAGAGAGTCATGGGCACTCTCACAAAATGGTCGTCATGGGGACAGGGCTTGCCCATTCACAAAGTGGCCACCATGGTGGGAATGTCTAGTCCCAGAACCCCCCGTAACCAGAGGAACACCGATGGGATGAAAAGAAAAGCAACCTATGCTCACGAAACCGCTCTAGCACCACAGCCGAGATGCTCAGGGTGGCATGGAGCTTTGCAGCATCCCAGCCTTTGGGTGTGCAAAATTTAAAGATGAAAACAATGAATTAAAATCTGGAGGTGCGGGGAACCTGGAAGTTGCTGAGTGCACTCAGGGCCCACATTGGAGGAATCAGCTGTGCACCTTTAGCGCCTGTTCCTACATTCTGCTGAGCACACTTAATTTGGGAAATTGTTCACTCATCAGTAATTGGTTGTTTGAACACAGCATCAATGGCATTGAAGGAGGCAGCTTTGCAGAAACCAGTTCCTGACTGGGACATGGTTCAGGTGTCAAGAGCTGGGCTTCCAAGTAAGTCAAGGTCTTTATTATATTAAACCTGACCGGCTAGGCTAGTTTTGTGATACGAATGAAGAGCATTGGAAAAGTCTGTAACAACAGACGCAAGCAAAGCGAGTACACCGGACACCAGGGGAATGCAGCTCATTGAGGCAAAGTTGCTTCCAAACCAAATATCTCTCCTCCCCATCCAAACCAAAAAGAGCTGGCTCCATCCTCAGGGTGGACCAGTCATCCCAAACATCTGGCATTTCTCAGACATCCATTCTCTCAACCTGATGCTACACAGGTTCAAATTCCAGTAAAGATGTTCTGTGCAGCGAGTCTTGCCTCGGCTTATTCACTAAACTGCCCCACCAAGTTAGAAACTCTCTGGTTCTGAGCCGGGCTTTCTCTGCGTCTTTTAGCCTTGCCGTTTCAGCGGTGAATTCCAACCCAACCTCTCCTTCCCTTTCTGAATCAGAATCTGAGTAAACAGCCCTTGAAGGGACCCAATCCGTTTACCCAGCAGCCTGCGCACACCACCTTCAGGCACGCTGGAGGGAAGGTGTGTCAAGCGAGTGTCGTGATGACTGTCACTGAGAAGCCAGTAAAGACCACAGTTCCCATTCTGAGCACCAAACAGGAAATAGCTGCGGGAGTCCACAGGACGAGCAATCAGCTAAAGCAGTGATTGCCTGTATCGATAAGCCCCTACATTCCTGCATAAATAGTTAACAGATGACAGCATTGATCCAAAGAGGTGCACATGGGTTTATTCCTGAATTCTGCCCAAAGTGGAACTGGGGTTTTCAGTTCCCTTTTGGGTGGACCTTTGTTCAACTATATGAGCAGAGAACATATCAAGAAGGCTATTTAAGTACACACAGGTCTCAGACCATTGCCTACTTTGGTTGATTAAGCATTAGTCTTTCAAAAGATCGATCCATCTGTTTAAAATACATTTACATATAGTTGAATGGCAAGAAATTCTCAGTGTAAGCACCCTCCCTTCCCCACCTTAAGAAATTGGAGGAAATCAGAGATGAGAAATATTATAATCCACACCATCTGCCACTTCTTTTAGGAAATATCTCTCTACATATTTACTTAGTCTTCGAGAGAAGGATGAGTGTCAGAAAGGAAGGAAGCGTGTTCCTGCAACTATCTGCCTTCAGCCATTCAAATTTGTTCCACCAATTCATTAACTGGTTTCCTTAATCTCCAGAGACTGCTACGAACAGTACCTGAAGTTCAAATTTGCACTGACTGCTGGCGAGCTATTGGCCTCCTTCCAGATACAAGTAAGATCTTCTCCAGCGGTGCTTTGTGGGAGCCCCCACTCAGGGAAAGCATGTGGGGGAACAGGGCCTTTTCTGTAGTGGCACCCTGACTAGGGAACAAGCTGTCCAGAGAGGCTTGCCTGGCACCCACATTATTCTCTTTCCAGCACCAGGGTGTCACACGGAGGTGGGCAGGGACTTGTCCTCCCCTGCAGATGAGGGCAGGACGTGCTCCAACGGAGCCAAGCTCAGGGAACCAAGGTCCCATTTGGATGCCAGGAAGCACTTCCTGACAGTCAGGACCCCGAGGGTGTGGAATGGGCTTCCACGAGAGGTCGTTGAGGCCCCATCGGTGCGGGCGTTTAAGGACAGGCTGGACGTGCACATGGTGGGCATGTCGTGAGCAGAGCCGGCTGCAGCTGGGGGTCAGACTAGATTGTCCAGGAGGCCCCTTCTGACTCGCTCTGTTTCTATGTTTCCTGGGTATTCTCCCAGGAATTTTAGTTTCACGCAGTTTTAGATTTTGCATTGTATCTTGAATAGTCTGGTTCTGCTGCTAGATTGGACTGTAGTTTCCACTTTTATTTTATAGGGTTGTTTTAACTATTTAAATTTTGTACTGTATTTTATGTTTTAAATTGTTTTCCATTGTTGTGAACCAGTCGGAGAGCTTTGGCTATTGGGTGGTATAATAATGTGATAAATAAATAAATAATGAGTAAATTTGATCTCCGAAGAGGAGAGTTCATGGCATTTGCTGGCAGAAGCCCCCCCCCCCGCCCCACCCAATTTGTCCAAGCCCTGCTTAGAGCCACCTAAACCGGTAGCCAGAGCAGAGTTCCCTTTCAGACATTGCTGAACAAGGGCCAAATTGGGGGGGGGGGGGGCAGAGCCAGCATGGATGACCCTGTCCCCCTTTTAACCCTTCATGTGCCTCTCCTCAATCCCCCACCAATCAGTTGCACTGAATGACCCTTTGTTCCTACTGGGAGCAATCCTGTATCACCCTTTCCACCAATATTTCTAGAGCTGTTTGGGGGAACCACAGGAAATTTCCACCCCATCCTCCATATCAAGGGTCCCAAATGGCTCGCCACTTCAATTTATCACATTGCATCGCTTAAGCGGTTTTGTAGCTCAGGCCTCTAAAATCACAAATATCTAACGAGATGTGCTAAGACCATCCGCACAATCAATCACAATGATTGATTTGCAGAGTGACCTGTACGTGTCTGCGCAGGAGTAAATCTGCAGAGAACAAGGTAAAGCGCATGGAGGATTGTTGCAGCCAGAACGAAATTGGAAGGAGGGACTGGGTCAGGTGAGCGCAGGGCCGCTTCACACATTATGCATGGCTGGCGTGCGCCTCAGGTGAGTTGCGCGTACGGTCATGCATCTTGAATGCGCCATGTTGATTCACCATTTTTAATAGGCCTAGATTGCCTTTTCCTCCTTTTGTTAAAAAGCCATCGAGGTGGCATGCCAGAAATGTTAAACAAGGAAGACACAAACAGTAAATGGGGAAAGCAGATCATTCAAAGGCCCGAATTGAAAAGACAACTTGCAAAAGAACCACAGACATGCTTGTCCATTGGTAGTGTGGGCGGATCAGTAGGAAGCTGCAGCTGCCCAGTCCTTGGGAGAATCAGCCGCCAGGGAGGCTGAGCAGTGAGAATGTCAGGCGGGGTCTTGGCCTCGAGCTCCCGCTTAGCTCCCAAGCTCCCTGCAGACTTGGGGCAGATCGTGGACTCACAACCTCACCTGCCTCGCAGGGTTGTTGTGAGGATAAAATGGAGAGGAGGATTGCTCAAGCTGCCTTGAGGAAGAAGGTGGGGTGCGAATGCAGGGCAAATATAGAAAGAAACTGCCCCGTGTGGGCAATTGAGTCCTCAAGAGGACATCCGTGGCAGGTCTTAACAATTGGACTGGAGTGTAACAAGCCCCTTGGGTAGCCAGGCCGTTGGCCATGCTGATGGGATCTGTAGTCCCAAGGGCATCGGGTTGGGGAGGCTGCCAAACAGGATAACTCCCCAGGGAGAGACCACAGGGGGTGTCTCCTTGCTGGAGGTACAGACTCCATCCCAGTGAGTCATCCGGGGACTCAGGGGACCCAGGTTCCCCTCCCCACTCAGCCCTGGAGATCACTGGATGAGCTGGGCCAGCCGCAAACTCTCAGCCCACCCTCCCTCACAGGGTTGTTGTTGCGAGGATAACATGGAGAGGAGGGGAACTTTGTAAGCCGCTTTGAATTCCTTGCAAGAGGAAGACAAGCGGGGTCTAAATCCAAAGCAATGATAAAAATCCGGAGGGGTTCAGTATCCAGCACTAACAGTTTGTGACTCCCCTGGATCTCCCCACGTTCCCCCATCCTCTTTCTCATCAAAAGCAAATTGTTGAAGAAACAAGGAAAGGATGCGGCGATGTGTTTTGACGGAGTGTGCTAGGAGTTTTCCAGAAAAAACAGCCTAACTCGAGTTTCCTGCCAAGTCATATGCAGTACAGCAGAACAGCCTTCCGCAGAAAGCGTGTCTGTAAGAATCAAGGGGAGTCATTCTTATTCGTTCCGGCCAGATTTATTTAGAGCTTTATTTATTTAAAGTCGTAGCCCATTTCCCAGCACATCCCCCTTTTAAAAAGAAGAAAACCCTTCAGCATGTAACCTGGCTAAATTTCCCAGCTGCAGCACGGATATCTTGTGCATGCTTAGCCCGGATCCTGTCCCACGGGGTTTAGTGGAGCTTTCTCCCAGGTAAGTGTGTGCGGGGAAGGTCGCACTTCAGCCCCCGACAGGTTCTGGGGGCAAAAGAGCCAAAAACCTGCCAGGCATGTTTGCCGCAAGTAAGTCCTCTTGAGCCGCATGGAGTTCGCGCTCCAGAACAACCTTTCCCAGCCAGGTGTAGTGAAGATGTGTTGGACTGCAGATCCCATAATCCGCAGGCAACGCAGGGGAAGACCGCCGTGCACAGAAAAGCAGAGCTTGAAGCACGCGTTAAGCGGCTCCTCGCGGGGGAAGCGGGGCTGGTTTTCCTAGCTGCAGGTCGGTTTGGCCCGACTGCGCCCGCAAGATGTTGCTCTGGATTTGGTTTTGGAAAGCAGGCGCAAGAGCCGTTCCTTTAACGGCTGCGGGAAGGCTCCCCAAGACGAGGCAAGGAATCCTGGCTGATTCCCCCCACCCTTGTTTTCAAACCAGGGAAACAGCTGCTTACATTTCCTTCGCCCATTCCTCGCCTCCGCTCCTGCTCCGTCGAAAATAAACCCCCCGCGCCGTGCCTACCTCGTGTGGCGACAAAAGCGGCCGTGTTCAGGTCGCCCGTCTTCTGCGGAGATGTTCCTGCAAGGGAGGCGGAGAGAAAGTCTCCTGGCGGGGGGCAAGAATCAGCCCCGTCCCGCACCATTCAGGCTGACGGAGGGAGAGGAAGCCAAGAGGAGAGCGACTGCACCAGCGCGGCGGAGTGGGTGGGCGAAGATCCTCCACGCAGATTGGATTGACTGCATCCCTCGGCGCTCATCCTGACCTCAGTCTGAGGCTCCCGGCTCCCCGCGAAGCACGTGAGCATCAGCCCCACTCCATGGGTTGCAGATGCGCCGTGTTCCGCTTGCGCTCTCGCTCGCTTCGTCTCCACTCCGGCTGGTTTCCTGGAGCTGCCGTGTGTGGGTGACTTCTTCTCTCGCCCGAGCAGCCCGAGCATTTCGCTGCGAAAGCCCCCTTTGCCGAGCCGCGTCCAGGCGCAAAGCCACCCTCCCGGACAGGGCGATCCCGAGCTCGCCCGCGCGCCAGGCGGGCGCAGCCGCCTTCCTCTCCAGCCCCATGGGGTGCGCTGCTCCGCGTGATTTTTCGAGAGGGAAAAATGCGCAGCCGGAGCAAAAGCAGGGCGGGAAGCCGGGGAAAGGTGCGTCTTTGCAGCGCGAAGCGGCAGAAGGGAAGTCTAACAGCTCCGAGGGCAGCGCTGCTTTTCTGTGTGAATGGAGGCATCGGTTCTCCCAGGTCCCTGTGCCGAGGGGAGAGGGGCGCGCTTTTGCCATAGTAGCAGACTCTGGGCTCATCCCATGAAACCGATGGAGGGGCGAACGGAAGAGCGAAAAGGGAGTCCTTGAGGGCGCGTGGCTGAGCTGCGGGATTCACGGCCACAAGGCGGCCGCCCCGGTGGCTGCGCGTTTGGGTGGCTTCAAAAGGGCGATGGGGTGAATCTGTGCAGGAGACCTTGACTACTGGTCCCAATGGCTACAGGCCACCCCGAGTTTCAGCGGCAGTGTGCAATGTACCCCAGAGGTGGGGGGAACATGTGCATCCATGCTCTGCTTGTGGACTTGGCAAGCGGTTGGCCGCTGAGTGAATGGAACGGCAGAACAGATGGACTCTTGGCCGGATCCAGCATTTTCTACGAGAGGAAAAGCCCCGCTGAATCCGATCATCTGGTCCAGCGTTCTGCTCCCCCTGTGTCCAGCCAGTGGCCTACGGGGCGTCCACAAGCAGTGGGCCAGCGTGGTTAAGAATGTGGCCAGGGGGTCGGGCGATCCCGGTTCTAGTCCCCACTTGGCCATGGGGCCAGCTGGATCACAGACTCTCAGCTCAACCGACCTCACAAGGTTGTTGTTGGGAGCATAAAACTGAGAAGAGAAGAATTGCGTTTTCTGCCTTGAGTTCCTTGCCATGAAAAAGGTGGGTTGTAAATATAAATATATAGCTAGCTGAATAACTGAGTGAAGCATCCCGTATAAGTCAATCTACCTTTGAAGTACAGAACTGCTCACAAGTGACAAGAGGTAGGATTGTGAGTCACCTGAGAGGGTGGCTGAAGCTGGAGGCAGAATTCTTGGCTGGCCAAGAATCACTCCAGACCTTGGCTTGATCCAGGACAACATTTCCAATGTCCTGTGATGTACCCCGGGCAGCGAGTAGTTCATGTCACCTGGTATTTGTTGATCTTCAAGAAGTTACGCCAACTTTCCCCAACCTGTGGCTCTCCAGATGTGCTGGACCACAACTCCAGGATTCCCTCAGCCAGCTTAACCAACACATCTGGTGAACACCAGGCTGGAGAAGACTGCATTACACCATCCAAGAAGTGTCAGCACAGAGATTTGGTTCATCATCCGACGCTCAAAACCACAAGTGAGATCTGATTGTCCATGATCAAACTTTCCGCGGGTCAGTCCGGTGCACAGGCCAAAACAAACATGGAAAGAATGCCCACTTCGTGCCTTGACTTTCAGATCCTCTCAACAAAAAACGAAAATGTTGGCATCCTTATGTTTAAGTAAGAGAAAAAGCCCTTGAAAAAAAGCTGCCATAATTCAAGTATTTGTAGCATGTACGGAAACCTTCTTTTTGGAGTTTCAAATATTTTGCACAGTGGCTTGTTGAGGAACGTCATCAAAATGGTTCTCATTAAAAACAAATATTTAAAATAAAAAAAAGAGGGCACGCACCTGAGTTTGCCCTGTTGCCATGCCTGCATGCAGTCCACAGGTGAGCACAGCTCCCTGCAAGGGGGGGGGGGGCTTAGAGGAGGAGCATCTTGCGCCCACTGCAGGCAGAGCACACAATCTGAAGCCAAGTGCTGCGTTCAGTGGCTGCCCCTGGAAGTTGACCTGATACCTGGCAAGAGACCTAGCAGAGGCCTCTGGGCCAGGCGGCCCAGCGGGCTGCCTCAGGCTGAGTTCGCATGACACACTTCAGCAATGATCCCCGGCAGCCTGGTTGTCGGGAGAGGTACCCTGGCGAGTCCAGCAGGTGACTGAGCGTCTTCAGCAGACTTCCGTCCCGCCTGCTCCTTCCGTGTCACTCGCCCAGGAGATCCTGCCAGGAGGAGAGAGGCTCCTCTTTCTGCAGGCCCGGGGTGCAAGCTGAGTCGGGCTCTCCATGGCAGCGAGAGTCTCTGTGGTGCGAACAGGGGTGCTGAGCTCCAGCCGGGACCATGCGGAGGGGGTTACCCCAATTAAGACGCAAGCCCTGATGGCACAAGGGGGAGATGAAAATGTTTTCTCCGCCTGGTCACATGAAAACTGTCCTCTTTGCCAGCTCCTGCAGTGCCAAGGGATGGACGGGCCCCCTGATCAGCTCTGCACTGCTGCCCCATCCTCAGAACAGCACCACAGGATGGGGCCCTGCGGCTTGCCCACTGTGGGGCAGCGCCGTGGGGTGGATCGCCGGCTCCCACTTCCTGCGGGAGAGGCCTGCTGCTGAATGAAGTGGCTGTGCAAACCAGACCCCCCTCCCCTGATCTCCTGCTGGAGAGGAGGTCTTTGGAACACAGGGTGGTGCCAAACACATCGAGTGTCAGTGGGCTACTCTCGAGCAAGGGAGCCCTCGGCGCCCGGGGGACATTCAGTCCTCTGCCAAGGAAGAGCAGGTCTCGGCCATCCTCACCGAAGGCTCAGGCGGCCCACTTGCCAGCAATGCTGGCCTCTCCATGCCCCCAGGGGTGGCGGACAGCTCCTGATGGCAGCCCCAGGTGCTGCCTGGGCACTTTGACGGCTGCTGTTGGCAGTGCCCGCTTGCCTGCCACTTGTCCAGAGTGGCAAGGGTGTTGTTGCTGCTGCTGCTGCTGTTACTTTCTTCGTGTGATTTCCCCAAGTTAGGTTGTTTGGGTTCAGGATTCTCAACGCAGGTGATTTGGGAAAAAGCCACCTAACCTGGGAACCTGAGGCTTGTTCCCATGACATGACAGCACAACCGCAATAACAGACTGGTGGGTTGTTGTATCACCCAAACCAGGCCTCTTTCCAAAGCAGTGTCAGAGACTCATGTGGAAATCGGAGGCATGAAGCAAAAGGAGGAGGGAAACGATTTTGGTGAGGAGAGATGGGGGCACCTTTTTAAATCTTAGGAAATCCCTCCGTTTGAAGGCACTACTGTTAAAGTTCAGTTTATCAGGGACTGTTCTTTTAAATCCATGATGAGAAACATGTAGGTCAGGGTGATGCAAAATTTGTTCTGCCTGTGCTTCACAGACTTTCACAGACCTTCCATTCCATCATCTCCTCCACTCACAGAATCAGACATTGCACAAATAGGCTTGTACAAATTTGTACAAATTCTCCCTTGCACGTGTTCACTCTCTTGGAATCGTAGACAAGCCCTGCAGAAGGTGTTTTCACATTTAACAGGGATAATACACATTTGGGGTTTCAAGCCAAACCAAAATATTTTTCCTGTAATTAAAAACAGTGTACGGTTCCACTGAATCCACATGACTTGGGAAAAGCTGACCTACTGCAGAATCAGAGGGAGAGATTCTTAGAAGAACAACTTCCTCTGAGCTGGTTGCTAATTCCCTTGATGTCTGTACACAGAATCCTCCTCTGTAACTCAAAGGAACACTCCAAGGCTTCAGGTAGGCGATAGGTCCCACCTTTCATGGAAATGCCAGGGATCAAATCAGGGAACATCCATGTACAAAGCACAAGCTCTTCCACTGAGACCTCCGGCCCATGTTGTCCATGGGGAGGTAGGTTAGGAGAGGAACTCAACAACTTTGGGAAGGCTGGAAGAGCAGTGCCTGGCAACGGTGACCCACGCTGGTTTGGCCTCCCACACGTGCTATGTGGGGCGGCCCTTGAAGACGGTCCGGATACTTCAATCGGCCCAGAATAGAGCGGCCAGGTTATGAACAGGGACAGGCAGGTACTCGCATATCACCCCGGTCCTATACCGTCTGTCCAGGCCCAATTTAAGGTGCTGGTAATGACCTATAAAGTCCTAAAGGGCTTGGGTCCTGGATACCTGAAGGAGCATCTTCTTCCCTATGTGCCAGCCTGACCCTTGAGCTCGGAGGCAGAGCCCTTCTCTGGGAGTCCTCTTTGGAGGAAAACAGGAGGGTAGCTTTGCGGAGAAGGGCCTTTTTGGCACTGGCACCCCAGCCTTGGAACACGCTCCCCATGGAGGTTCGCCTGGCGCCGTTGCTTTACTCTTTTCGGCATCAGGCAAAACCCTTATTTTCCCAACATTTTAACATTTCACTGGTTTTATATTTGTTTTTATCATTAATGGTTGGACACAGTGTGTTGTTTCCTGGTATGTTGCTGTTTTTTGTCTTTTTTTTGGTAAGCCATCCAGAGACTCTGGTATTGGATGGCATACAGAAACTGAAGGAAGGAAGGAAGGAAGGAAGGAAGGAAGGAAGGAAGGAAGGGAAAGAAAGAAAGAAAGAAAGAAAGAAAGAAAGAAAGAAAGAAAGAAAGAAAGGCAGGCAGGCAGGCAGGCAGGCAGGCTACAGAAAAGGCCTCTTATGATACCATGCAAATTCTTCCACTGACACAAGCTGAAGTGTCTCGAGGAGAATACACACTGCCGGTTTGGGATGAAGGGAATTGTAGTCCAAGAGATCTGGAGGCAACTTCAGATATTTGGGCCTACAGGTCCCATGAGCTTCAGCCAGCAAGGTCTGTGGTCAGGGATGGCAAGAGCCGTAGGCCAAAGCTCCTGGAGAAGCTGGCCCACTCCTCATTCAGGATCGTGTTAGGCGCTGATGATGCAGCTCCGAGGGCTTCCTTGCCCGCGTCCAACTGCACCCCGGCGGGACAAGGACAGGGAGAGGCGGGACATGAGGGTGCCAGATAGTGAAT